CAGCTATTAATTCAAGATCAGTGCTTCTGTAATTAATATCAGATATCAATATCAGCCCAATTTTTTATGTCACTGCATCCCTAAATACAGATTTAGTTCTATAAGGATGCAGTTGGGTCAAAGCATATTCATCCGTTACATTAGCCCAATCAAAGACTGGTTCTAATTTCAATTTTGACTATGTGGCAAGACTCTTAGTGTCGTTCATGTGACCCGTCTGTCCTGTCCAACTGTTCTTGAGCTATTTTTTTGCAAAGCGGCATAGACAAACATTTTAGTCTCTAGACATAAACCGAAGGAAATGCAGCTGCAGTGTTTTTTCCCTTCCTTTTCATTTCACATTTCGAAAAACCAAGCACTTTTTTTTTCCTTCCACTTCACAATCATGTGCTACTTCATGTTGGTCTGTCCCATAAAAATCCTACTGAAACACATTGATTTCTATAGCAATTTTGTCAAAATATCAAAACAAGTTCAGGGGCTGTAATTACACGAAAGAACGGCATGGCAGGCACTGTTTTGTCTTCTCTTGGTTTGTTAGTTTTCATAACCTTCCTCGTTGATGTTGAGACCACATGGACTCGTCTGATTATAAGTGGCTGTGGTTTTTGGAGCCATGCTGATTAGTGTGTGGCTTTGATTTAACCAGTTGATCTCCGCTCTACGGCTGCGGCATGCAGGAGGGTTTTAGTGGAGATGTTCTGCTGGTTTGTGGATTACTCCTTTTGTGGAGTAATCCAACATTTTTACACTTGCACAGCTGCAACCTTTGACCTTTTCTCTCCATATTTGCGTACCGAAAGCTGCGATTCCATTACAAATGTGCGTAAATCTTTGTGTTCTGCTAATGTAAAAAACAACAACAACACAATTTCGTAAATGCTGTGTTTTCATTAAATAAGATATTTAATTAAAATCGCGGCAGCGGCAGATGTAAACAGTTACTTGAGACATAGTCATAATTCAGCCGTGGCACAACCGCTCACCATCAGTAGATGGCGTCTTTTTCAGCCAAGCCCCTTTTTCTCGAGAGCGACTACGTATGCGATGTCTTGGGGAAATCGTAGTCGGCGACTTTATGGAAGACGTTATAGTGACACAACTTTTTATGAACTGTGTGCTGCTGTGAGAAAAACATCCTTCTCCTACCACTTCCTGTGGTCTTCTTTGTCCTTTTCGCCAGCGCCAACGTCCGGCTGTTTGTATCATGACTCGTGAGATGTGAAAAAAGTGTTGGATACGGCTGATCCTCATCCTCATCCTAATCCTAGAGCAAAGACTTTCAATTGAAAAATGTAAAAAATAAAATAAATTTAAATTGTCTTGTTTCCATTAAGCAAATTTATTTTCAGAATTTCAATTTGCACAACTTCGTGGCTAGTAGGAATGCAGCTGTAGTAACCTGCTGAGTAGAGTAAATCAAAGTGGGTGTGCACTCCCGAGCAGATTTGGTAAATAATGAAATTACTTTTTCGTGGCGTTCTGGTTGACCTCGGTTGCAGTTAACTGAGCATAAATCTTTCTAAAACAGAGTGGCTCAGCTTCAGGAGTCAGAAACTGTGGATCTTATTGATTAGCTTTCTTCTAACTTTATCTGTTATGTGTTGATTTTTTTTTGTGATTTTTTAAGTTTACCTCTGCTGCTTCTTCTAATTCGCCATTAATGACGCTTTGAAATCGATGGGCTTTAACTGCCAATAATGTGACTCAAGACAGTACAATTATAAAGTGAGGCAGATTTGTCCAACAGTTTTAAGAGTCTACTTTAAAGTTGCTTCTCGTTTTCACCCCGTCTTTTCGCTGACCCCTGTCAGAAGAGCCGTTAAGGCTCGCTCGCCTGCACAGCGCTGTTTGCTGATGAGGAGTATTTTTGAAGTTGTAGCTTCGCTCCAAGATACCAGAGGCTTCTTTTTTCAGCAGCTCACAATAAAACAATAGACTGACAGTTTCAGTGTAATGAACCCCAGGTGTCTTCCTTCACAAAATATCTTTTACCATTTCAGCTGCTTGGTTTTAATCTCTTTTCTGGTCTCTGTGTACCTCTTGGTGTTCCTTTCATGAATTTACTGGGTCTTTTTTTTCCCCTCTTAAATCTTTGTGTCTTTGTGAGATGATTCCAATTAGCTATGCATCCCACTTTGTTGTGACGATCTTAGCAGGTGTTGCAGTGAGTGTTTTATTCCCTTATTAACCCGTCAGTCTTATTTTGTGGAAGAGAAACTATTAGTTTTGTTTTTACACACCATGAACACGTACAGCACAGTTTATAAGCCTTTGTTTTGACTTCTTCAGGATCATTTTTTATTTCTGTTGTTCAATGTTGTCCAGTGAAAGCGAGAAGCTTCAGAAATGTAATCATCTGATTACGGACTTTGTCCACTTTGTCCACTTTGTCCATCGGCGCAGACATGTAGCTCTCGGATGTGTCCTAGTTAAAGCCGACTCATTTCAGGGTTCAAGCACTCATGTTGGACGTATAAGGTCAAGCTCACTCAAAGTGACTCTTGATCTTTTCTTCTTTTTTTTTCTTTTTGGCTTGAGGCCTGTTAACAGCATTTTCTCGTCAAAGAATTTTAGTCAACTGGGCCATTCTAGCTTTGATTTATATCTGGCTGTATGATTGGGGTTGTTGTCCTGCTCATAGGTATCTCAAGCCTTTTGCTTGAGGCACCACAAGCAAAAATTAATGGTTTTGCTCCATCCATCTTTCCAATAATGCTGTGTCTCCGATTAATGCTCTCCTTGCATGACTTTTACATTAAGGTGGCTGTCAAGGTCAGATCGCAGTTGGCTTCTTTCCCTTAGTGGGCGATGGATAGACTAGTGCTCAGTAAGATATGTTCGTATTGGGACTCTTTATGGTAATTAGGTGTTCAGAGTAAACTTTTTAGATAATTTTTGATGAAAGAAATACACCAGAAATGTATTTATTATTTTTCTTGCACTTCATGGTCGTCCAGTAATTTGTGTAGGGTTATTATGTAAAATCCAAGAGGAGACCAGTGATGTTTGAGGTTGTAACAGGACAAGAGGTTTTGAATACTTATGTAAGTCACTGTTTATCACCACAGAATTATTAATTACACAAATTTATTTAAGTTTTGTAATATGTCTTGATTGGGACCTTGACGCTGGCTTAACACTCTTTCAAAGCTGGTGTTAGAACAAACTGTGCATAGGTTCTGGGTGGAGTCTCTGGGCTGTCAAAGTAAAGATGTTTATGGATACGTTCACAGAGAAAGCTTTAGGGAATACTGCCCATGTTCTCTTGGAACATGCCTAAGTAACATGGTTGTTACGCTAAAATGCATATTAGACATCCATAAAACATATTTCTCCTGTACAAAGAGAGGACACATACACACACATATATATGCACACACGGACACACAGGTTGTTTCGGCATGCTGCAGCCTGCTTCGTTTCTCATGCGTTTCATCCAGACACTCTTCTCTGCTCTCGAACAGGTAACGTCCTCCCGCTAACGCGAGTCAGGATTTTATCCTTCCACAATAGCAGCTGTGTATCTGTTCTCACCTGCCAGCGGCCCCAGCCAATCACAAGCTCCTAACTCCACCTCATCAGCTGTCTGCGAGGAAACGACGACTCAAATACCAGCCTGCAGGAATTTGGCTCGACCAATTACAGACTCCAAAGACGGTTGACATGCGTTCACTACTGTGCTTACTGTCTGACAGAGGAGCTGTGTACTTTGGCTGACGTAATGAAGCCACACTTTTTCTCGAGTAGTGTCGAACATAATGGTGCAATATTTTAGTAGTAAAGGATATGTTGTCTATGGATGCTACTTTGAAAGGATTGTAAACACTGTTATGCAGTTATGAAATATGAAATATGTTTACATAAGTCATATAATATTGCCAGTATGAATTTATTGGCAAATTTTTACACATTTGCACAAAGTGCAGATGCAAAAATGCTAAAATGCAGGATGTTAATTAAACACAGTAACAGGATGCATCACTGTTATATTAATGTGTTTAATATTCAGTTTCCAGTTTTGTAAAGGTTTCACTTGACAATACATTTATGAAGTCATTTCTTTAGAAATGGAGAGATTATGAATTGAAAATAATTGAGATATTGTAAGTTTGATTCTAGCCACTGAGTGAATGTGTTTATTATTTTAAAACAAATTCAAAGAGTTTGTGAATTTAGGTTTTTAAGATCATGTTAGCATCTTCTACTAGCAGTTACCACTGCTACCGTTTCTAAAACAGCAGCCTCACTGTTTACATTTTTTTTCAAACATTCATCTTCATATTAGGAGCTAATGCAACTTCACACTGTGTGAGAGTAGTCAGTCATTATTTTAAACCAAATACGAAGTGTTTAGCATCTTTTGCTAGCATTTAGCACTACTAGCATTTTTTTTTTAAAACGTAGCATAAGTGTGTTTTATACAGGGAATTTAGCTGCTTAAGTGAGATATTTTCAAAATGCTCCCATTATTTCCAAAACAATTATTTTTCAGGGCAGAGTTGAGTAGCTCCAAATAATAAAAGAATAAATAAATTGAGCCTTTCTGTTGCTGGAGTCTCACTTTAAATGTTGGCGCCTAAATGAACATTCAGTTATTTTTGTCATTTACTAACAACTTCCACCCTGTTAGTGCAAACTGTTAGCAATTCGCTAGCCCCTTAGCACCTAATGACAGGAATAGAATCAGATTCTTGAGTTTCTGATCACTTTAAATATCCTTCTTAAAACAGAACTTTGTCTGCAGGTGCCTAGGAGTACTAACACCTTTAAACTCTCTATAAACTTAATGACTAAAGAAATTGTGTTTTTGATTTTCATTTGTGCCACTTTTGTTATGCACCCTGTCTGCATTTAACAGGTCAAGTTTGCACTAACAACCACCCAAACATCCAAATGTCAAAATGCTGATTATTTGTTTAAACCGATAAAGAAGATGATACATGCAAGAAATGGGGAATACCTTAAACAGCTGACTCATGTGTTTCTGTCTTCTGCAGGGGGACATCCAGCAGCTCCTGATTGTTGCTGATCCCAAAGCAGCGTATGACTACTGTGACCATTACAGCCCAGACTGTGACACACCACACAGGGATTCGCTTCAGGCCCAGGCGCCGGACGAAGAGGTCAGCCAACAAGCAGAGCTCCTTATTAAACCAACCCTTCCAGTAAATTGTACAGCTGCACTTAGCAAGTTTTATTTTTTTTCAGTAATCAAGTATTACATCAATTATTCTGATGATTAATCAATTAAGAAATTTGGCATATTCTGTAGATTTTTCATTTAACTATTTGAGCGTATTTAATGTTTAAAAAACTACATATAAATAATTAATTCAATTATTTTTTCAGAAACTAATCATGTTATTGCCAAAAATGCAATAATGTATCATTCCTCTAACGCACGTTTGTTTATTTGCCACAAAGGATTAAAAAAAATACTAATTCATCTGTTATTCAATTAAATGATTAATAATTGGATATCAAAAGCTTTATATGACATTTTTAAAGCTAAAATTAAGCCACTTAAGGAATTCTAGGTGGAACATATTTGCTGACATCTTAAATGCAAAAATGTATATATTTTTGGTCAAGTTTTGACTTGATTACTGCTCTGAATGTGTTTTCCTTTGAGTGCATCACTATTATTTTAATCAAAACACTCCAGTTAACTATCAGTCAGTTATTTAGTTTGTTGAAAATCAAACTCATATATCTGTGGTTCCTGTGTTTGGAAACCATTCCATACAGTCAAATTTGTCATTATTTTGAACAAATAAAAGGTGTAGAAACCATCCTTCCGGTAGCTGTCTGGAAACACACAGCTACAGATGAGGGAGAATCATCCACGGCTTTTAAAACCGTAAATCGACACCCGTTACCGGTTCCATGCTAGGTCACGACTTGCAGGAAGAGAAATACCTCAGAGCTGCACGTCACTGAGATGGCGCGCCGTTTGCTACGAGGCTCACCTTTTGTTTTGCAGCTGCTTCCAGTGAGAAAAGTTCCATGACGAGATCGCTCGAATGCAGCTGGTAATTTTGGTTCTGAGGGGTTTTTTATGAGCCTTTTTAACACTCCCTCTGCTCATGTTTGTAGGTTCAGACCAACACAGCAGGTTTCAGCTGTTGTTTAGTTTTCCAATTCATGTTTTGGTTGTCTATCTGTAAATCTGAACTGTAAAACGAGTACAGACGAATTGTGACATTGTGCTGTTTTGTTAATTAGCATTAAGGCAGTCTTTATTTGCTTTTTGGGTTAACGTCTCCATTTTATCGTAATGCATAAAATGTAATTTGGAACTTTTTTCCTAAACACAAAACTTAATGGCTTCAAGTGTTTGAACTTGTAACCTGCTGAAGATGATGCGTACCGCATTATCTTCTCGCTGAAATAACGTTCTGCATTTTTAATGCTTTTGCTAGAAACTAAAACCCGCCCACTCTTCTTCTTCTTCTTCTTTTTTTTCCATCTCTTCTCTGCCGTTCTCGACCGCTCCAGTACATTACTGACGATATAGATTACAGACAGTTCTATGAATACTCTGAAGGACCAACAGTCTCCGTCCCCACTGACGAATACTCTGAAAAACAGGTAAATAGAACAACAAAAAGTGAAAAGAAAAGCTGTTTTTGTTTGTTGTCTTTCTCCGTTCCTCTGTTCGTCTCAGAGTTGTGACTACATGTGCGCTCAGTGTTTCAAAAATCACACTGTGTATTTTACACAAAAAAAGAGTTTGAGTAAGCGCTCCACTATATTGTCTCACTGTCAAAAGTCGCATACATGGCTGGATATGAATGTGTGTGTTTGTCTCCTGACAGTGTAGAAGTGGAGGAGTGAATCTGAGTGTACATGCAGACACACACACTGTTTGTCCTTCTGTCTGATTTGTCTTTGCTGATTCTACCTGCTTCAAGTGTGCTTTTGCATTTCAGCACGTCTTTAAAAATAATGTAACCATAACAGAATATCAGCTGGATTGTATATAATTTAGGAAAATGCGGCTAATTTGACTTCCACGCCAAACCTAATACCTACATTATTTCCAAAGATGTGCTGAAAGTGCTTGTTACATGTTTCACAGTTTGTTTGCTACTTTCAAACAGTTTTGAAGACGCAGTAGATCTAAGAAGTGTTCACCCCTTTGACCCCAATATGCATTTTTTCTGAAGTTAAACAATGAAATCATGGTGGAAAAATAGAGACAGGTTTTCAAATCTTATGGCTGTCTAATCTTATGCTATATATATACTTAAAGTAGCATATGACCACCATAAGTGTGCAAACCATCAGTCTGAAACTAGTTTGCCTTTTGATTCAGTTTTCCACCATGTTGGTGTGCATCTTGGATTTGGCTCTTGTTGGTTTGGATGAATACTTGGCGTCATTGTCTTGATGGAAAGTTAAATCATTCTTCGTCTCTATTCTAGCAGAGACCTTGTGCTTTTGGGTAAAAAGTGACTGGCGTTTGGATCCGATCACATTATTGGAGATTTTAGTCAGGTATTTATGTTTTCTGTATACGGCTTTTCCTAAACAGGAAATATTCAAGCCTGGGAGAAAAAAAAAATGTACAGAGAATGCTGAAGATTATTTTCATAACTATAGCACAACCACTGTTTGTGCCAGCGTTTCTGTTTTGCCCAATTAATTACCAGTCATTTTTGGACTCTTCTCCTGACTGATACCTTTGTATAAATCATAGAAATCCTGGGTTGCATGCTTAGACTGAGCTACAACGTAGCTTTCTTAGCTTCCTGTATCTAATATATAGCTTAGTGTTTTTAGCTGAGTAGAAAATTTGAGAAAATTCTTACAAGAACACTTAAAATTTATTTCAGGTTCATCTGATTTACTATTACCAATAGCAGAAGTATGCAAAACAACTTGCCTTTCTTTGCATTTAACACTGCAGCATACACAGATGCAACTGCAAACATCACAGCAGTGACCCAGCTATGACGCGGCTTTAACATGCTTCAGTTTAATAAATATGAACAAAAGCAAAACAAGATGGCAGCTTAGCGTTCCCAATCCTGATGCAGCAGATCACTGTGAATTCCATGTACACATTATTCAGAACAAGAGCGGATAACAAGCAAGACATACTTCATCTTTATATCCTCAGATGTAGGCATGCATGGATTGTTTTTCAATTTGTCAACACTTTACAGCTTTACATTAACCGTTTTCTCTCTCTCAGTTTAATTTAGCATAATATATTTTCTAATAAAGCTGGAAAAGTTTTTGAAGGGGTTTACCATAATCTATTATGTTCTGCCTAGCATTTAACTAGGGGTGTGCACTGATAGATCTACTGTGTGTACTTTATATAAATCCTTTGTGTCACTTAATCTTCCCTCCCTTTGATTTTTGAACAGGTTCGGCCGATGCGCAAATTTTTTCATTGACTCATAATGAGTCTGTGCACGAGTTGCTGTTGCTGTTATGTGTTTGTTTGTCTTGATTTGTCTTTGTTGCCGTCAGCTCTTACAGAGAAACAAACGTAGTGTCTCCACGAAAAAGAAGACGGCCAAAAAGTCTCCCAGTAAAACTAAGCATAAGCCCTTTAAGCCGACCTCCAATAAATCCCCGGCTAAAATGTTTCTCCACAACAAGAAGATGACGTGGGGCTACCAGGCCACAGCGCCGGCGCGACCCAGAGGCAGTTCTAGGGTAAACGTTTGTCTCCCTGGAAAAAGAACCGAATCCGATCAAGATTTGCCCTGAACGACGAAGGGAGAATCTATGATGGCGGATGTAGAGTTCCCCTAACCTCTCCTCTGTAGATGTAGCCTAGAGTGTAGTGAACTCGAGAGGACCCTCCCTCGATCGACCTCTGGTACGAGCCTTGTTGTAACCCAGATTCTTCTTTCCTTTTCTTCCAACATGACTCAGCTAAACAATGTAGAGGGAGATTACTATACAGACAATGACTACGGGACTCTAGATGGTACTCAGACTCAGTCGCCTCTTGCCACGAGCGGACCAAGTGAGGTAATTTTATTTTCTTCCTTCTCGATCTGCATTTCCAAGTAAAAGCCACTGTTTGGTGTTCTGGGACGTTTGACCCATTTGGCGGAGCACCTGGTATGACATGATAAAGACACAACCATTCAATTGAATTAAAGTGTCTGGAGGCCTGGTATGTAGCTGAACTTGTGATGGACGTGGGATATGTCAAGCAGTACTTAATAGTGACAATTTATATTCTCCACTGGATACTAGAGAAGGTAACACATGCACTATGTGAAAATGTGTTAAAAGCCTTAAAATCATTTTATTGCAGCAGAATAATCTCAAACCTGAAACAATTGGAGAAATTTGATGTTAGTTACATCTTCAGCTGCACCAAACCTTTTGGGGAACCTCTTTACCCCCTCGCCTATGGGGGCGCTGCACCAAGAACCACTAAAGAGAATGACACAAAAAACCTCTGAAGAAGACACTGATCGCAACTTCCTTCTTCAAGTAAAGTAAACAAACATGGATTGACACCAAATTTTAGTGATTGTATTATTTTTGTTTTGTCTTTGGCAAAAGACTACTTGGCCATTTCTCCAGCCAGCTCTTGATTCTCATGTCCATTTTGGTTGTAATTACCCAGAATGCCCTGCTGTGTTATCCGCTTCCTGCTTCCGGGTGATGTCTGGTCCACTTGCATTCAGATGTGGATTCAAATCACACCAGAGTTCACTTCAACCGAACCAAGAGCCCGACTTGTTCCCTTTTTTGGTCCCCATCAGAGATGCAGTTGCGATTTCCCACCTCCCCAAATGAACCGGATTTTCCAGGCAAACGAACTAAAGCGGACTAAACGGGGATGGCATGAGCACACCCTTCATCAGTGAGGAAAAAATAAGTACTGGTGGCACATACCTCTGTTGTTAATGCTTCCACTGGTACAGAAATGAGTCCATTTCAGGTTAACGTCATTCTACTGCAATAAAAGATAAATGTAAGGTTTTTCCACCACATCTTTACAGGTGACAACAACCAAATACATCCTCATCTGTTTTCCTTCTAGCTTACGTTTTTCTACGGCAAGCAGTTTTGTCGACACATAACGCTTCATGTTTTAATCTGATCTGAGAAATTCTATGTGAATAGGTGAGATGTTGTAGACCAGTCATCAAAAATGAAATGATTTGCTATTCACTTTGTACTGTCTGTTGTTCTGGACGGTCTAAGTGCACCTTCAACTAAAGGAAACCTCAGAATGTGGAAGTAGATAATGTTCTGTGGCCTTATAAATAACTCAAGAATGAAAGAGGCCAACATATTCCCCCTCGTTGTCCATCACACAGTTTGATTAATAGTTCTGCTAATTATTTCAAATAGAACTGTGATCAACAGACTGAAAATCCTCTCACGGCCTGCTATGATCGCGCTTTTGCTGCCTCATTGTTTGGCAAATTAGATGTGATTATGCCGGGTATTTAAAATGAATTATTGGGCAGGAAGGATTACTGCCAACAAGTGTGTAATCGCATCTGCTTTGCTGCGCTGCAAGGTTAAAGCCACAGTGATCACCATTTGGAATGTGTGAGAGAGAGAGAAAGTTCTGCCAAGTCACTGTGGTTACAGTAAGTCTATGCCAGACACAGAGATCATGAGGCAACTTTAAAGGCTGCTAAAACACACTCATCACAATGATTCACTGGGTGTCAAATCCTGACGTCTTGATGCAACATCACGGATTGATTTGATGCGTTTGCAAATTTTTGAGAGAGCGATCCGAGGCATCAGGCAGCCTTTCTTTCTGCAGTCGGCACAAAAATGGCTGCATGACGAGAAAGAAAACGGCTGTTCCTCTGTCAACCAAGCCACCAATTGGAACGGTGGACAAAAGTGATGTTAACACTTTATTTATTATTACAAAGCCAACCAACCTTTGCTAACCTACAAGTAATATTATCCAAAAATTAAGTGTTATCATTGTCATGATTTCATTTTTTGTTGCCTAATATCTATGTAGTTTGCTTTTGTCACATTTACAGTGCCTTGCAAAGGTTTTCATACCCAGTGGACATATTCTAGGATGCTACAATAACAAACTTTAAGGCATTTTAATGGCATTTTGTGTGATTAAGCCAACACAGAGCTCTGCGTAATTGTAAAACAGAAGGAGAAAGATTCTCCCAATTTTTGTACCCAAAATTAGAATGGCATTTCAGTCCCCTTTACTCTAATGCAGATAAATAAAATCCAGTGGAAATCGAGTGTCTTTGCATGTCACCCGTTTAGTGAATAGTGCGTAGTTCAGACGTCCTGTAAAGGCTTCGAAGTTTTGTTGGGAAACATTAGTGAACAAACAGAATCATGAAAACCAAGGAACACAAATGACAGGGATGCTAAAAGAGGAAACGAGGTCACAGCAACCCCAACCAAACAGCCACAGCTACGGCCAATGAACTGGTTTAAATCAAAAAATGTTTTATGTTCAGATCTAGATCCAAATAAGAATCATAAACGTTGATATTTTGAAATGTTTTGGATGCAGTCTTTCAAATACAGTTCATTTATATAGTGCTGTTTCACAAAAAATGTCATCTGAAGACATCTTACTGAACTTGAACAATCTTCCAAAGAAGAATCGGGAGTCGTTCTTGGCTTTAGTTGTGTGAAGCTGAGACATAAAAGAGACTAAGAGAATTAAAGAGGGGATGAATATTTAAAAAAATAAATTTAAAACTCTATCCTTTTTAATTTCTCTTTTTGCTCAGCAAATTGTCATGCACTACCTTGTGTTGGTCTATCACAAAAAAAAAAAAAAATCCAAAACAATGACTTTTGTGGTTCGTGGGATATGGATTCCTTTGCATTCGACTGTGAAAGTAATTATGGCCTCAGTCTCATAACTAACAACCTTATCTCTTTATTAGTTGCTGATTGTTAACTTTCTCCTTCTTCGCTTGTGTAACAATGGGAAGGCTGTAAAGGAGGATTTTATCGGGGCGCACGTCACCGAAGCCCCTACTCTGGAGCCCGGCACCGTGTTGGAAACAGGGGACAACTCGGAGACCGGTGCGGAAGCATATGACTTTAAGGAGTATGACCTGAACGAGTATGACTTGGGCAAGTTAGACAACAAGTATGACTATGGGACATACGACGAGTACGGCCCCCTCCCGTCTAAAGCCCCGACAGCCTATGATGAGGAAGTGGGGCCTGGGGTTGCAGCCGAAACCGACTTTTCTGAAAGTACAGTAAGTATCGCACCCCGACCACGCCGACGGAGGGGTGTGTGCATGAACGGCATGGCAAGAGGACTCCCTCTGTCTCCCAGTGCATGGACTTCTTTTGGCTTGGTTTGGGCAATATGTCATTGACGTGTTGAGTGTGGAGTAGTTCAGTGTTGCTGTTTCTGTTGTTCGATTTGAAACTATTAGAGAAAACATGCATGCATCTGTCTGTTAAAAAGAATCAAAACATATGTATTAGCTAATTATACTCTTCCGTTTCGCTTTATCCTATAGAAACATTCAGTCACACTTCATCTGTCCACACACAACTTACAATCAGTGGATGTCGGCCCAACCTACACCACGCCCATAAATACCTAGGAAAGCCCACTGCCCCTCCCCACCCACTCATCTCTCAGCACTTGGACCCAATCCCTCCCTCTTCTCCTCTGCTATTTTAACAAGCAGCCTGTAACATGTAGTTCCCTTTGTTCACTGCAGACAACCGTTAAATCATTGGCAGTGCCTGCGCAGCACACGCACGCGCTTTATTGGATACCCGATGTTAGGGTTTATTGCCTTCGCTTTCTGCCAAAAGTTTTGGGCTCGGCTTTCACCAAGCAGTACATCATATAATTTACCTTGATAATAAACACGTAGGCCAGCATCCCTTCACTCTGCGTTCAGTCAGGGTTAGATAATCTTTGTGTTTCATGAATCTCAAATTGTGTTTCAGAATTTGAAATCAAGATGACCAATTGCCATCCAGACTTTTTTTAAGAGCTACTCTTTTGTGTAGAAGCTACAAACCAGATGCTAACTTTAGCATCTTTAGAATGCTAATCATTAGCCAGTCGTTGCAGTCTCACAGTGCCCCCAAATTATTATTTTGCAACAGTTTCTTATTTTACTACGAACCTAAAATGCTGCCACAAAAAACATTTTAAAAGTGATAGCAGTTTCTTCTTTGCTTCACCAGCAAACTTCATCAATACAGCTAGCTAGCTCAGGAGCTACTTCCCTTTATACTTCAGAATAAAAGTCACAAACATAGATACAGCAGAGTGTCGAGCTCAAGGCATTCCCTTAATAAACCTCTAATGTTTAAGTATTTGTGTCCTTGTGTGTCTGTAAATATCTATTTAGAACATTTTAGCTCGTGTTTATTTGGCTTTTGGGTTTACCAGCATCATGCAATGACAACTTTACCTCATTTCAAGCCTTCAAGTCTGATGTGTGTTCTTTCTTTTCAAGACTAACATTTCGTTTCATCTCCCTGTAGAGTCGGGTGCCTTTGTGTTGTACGTGATTCCTCTACTGATTATTGAATGAAACTTCCTACTTAAAAATGCTTCTTGGATATTTTTGCCTGCTATGTAAACAATGCCTTCTTTTTTGTGCTGCGTCTACAGGTTGCTGGTTCACAAGCAGCCTTCGGACAGAAGGGCGAGAAGGGCGAGCCGGCTGTGATCGAACCTGTAAGGCCCAACATGTCCAAAAACATGCTAATGCTATGATCTGGGTCTTTGTGATAGAGACATCAGGTTTTACTGTGAAATTACATATAGTGATACACATACCTCAACAAAAAATATGGATTAAATATCTTCGAAATTTAAGTTTTCAGGTTCTGTTTGAAAAAAATAAATAAATAAATTACACCATTTTTTGATGAGAGTGACAGAAATATAGCCAAGCCATATAAACTGATAGCTGATGGCCCCTTAAAAGAGATAAACCAGGTGTCTTTTTTTATAAGCTTGGAACAAATGTAGGAGGTTTATTTCAGCAACTGGTGAGGGAGGGGCAGCAATGCATAACTCTATACGTTTACTCTATCTTTATCAGTCAATCAATCAAATTTTATTTGTATAGCACATTTCAGCAGCAAGGCATTTCAAAGTGCTTTACATAATTAAAATAAAAACAGCGTGTGACATTGAATAAACAGTGAGAAAGAGAAAGAGATTTTGAAAAAGATTAAAAAAGATAAAAACATTAAAACCCGCACCCCTTTTAGGACTTCAGTTAAACGCCGTTTAACTGGGACTCAAACCCTCTGGGACTTTAGTCAAAAACACCGTTTGACAAGGACTCCAACCTCTAGGTTTTTAGTTGAAACGCCGTCAACTGGGCATCTAAAACCCGTAGGACTTTAGTTAAACGTCGTTTAACTGGGACGTTTCCCAGAGGGCTTTATATCATTAAAACGTAGACCGTGAGAAAGAGAAATAAAAAGAAATTAATAAATAGATAAAAACTTAAGATAAAAACATTAAAAACATCGAAGACATCAAAAACCCACACTCTAACCCTAAGTTAGCCATAAGCAACTCTAAACAGGTGGGTTTTAAGTTGAGATTCAAAGGCTCTCAGTGTTTCAGCTGTCTTACAGTTTTCTGGGAGTTTATTCCAAATCTGTGGTGCATAGAAACTGAATGCTGCTTCTCCTCGATGGTTCTGGTTCTGGGGATGCAGAGCAGACCAGAACCAGAACCAGGGGTTTAGACGGTTGGTACAGCAATAACAGATCTTTAATGTATTGTGGTGCTAAACCATTCAGTGATTTATAAACTAACAACAGTAGTTTATGATCTTTGAAGCAAAATAAACAGAATTTCAGCTGTTTTAATACAGGAACATTTTAAAAAATTTGGGATACATAGATTTTTCCTTACACTTTCCATTGAGAATCTGAATTATTCTTGTAATAATGGACGCTCCACAAAGCAAAATGTGTGTTTTTCGCGTCTCTTAGGGCATGCTGATTGAGGGACCACCAGGACCACCTGGCCCATCAGTAAGTGTGGCGTAAAAACAAAAGTCAGTGTAAATATATGTGGGATTTGATGAGAAGGTAGTAATACTCACTTATATTTGTGTTTTAGGGTCTTCCGGGACCATCAGGCCTTCAGGGACCCCCGGGCCCTGCTGGAGATCCTGGTGACAGAGTGAGCAAACCTGTCCAAATCGTTTCTATTTGCAGTGCAGCATCATGTGTATTATTCGTTTGTTGATTAAAAGTGTTGGTTTTTAAGTTTTAACTGCACTTAGTAACTCCATAACAAAAATCGAGACGTTTCGAAAAGGTTTGTATTCAAAGTATTTATACCTGAAGGGAGTTCATAAGCCCACTTTGCAACTCTATAAAAGTTTAAACCAAAATCATTAAGCAACTTAAAAATTAATGAGATAAAGTCAATAAAACCTCTTTTTAGAAGTAAGTTAATATTTGTAATTTTTCATAGCTGCATTTTACTCGAATATTGAAGCGTTATATTTTCCAATACAGATCATTTACAGAACAGTTTTGAAAGTAAAATATTGAAGCAGTTTTTTAGTTTTGGAACAAGATGTTAACTTGTATGAGCTGAAATCTTTTTGTTATTTTCACCAAACAAAACAACCTCCAAATTTCCTAAAAAAAAAAAAAAAAAATGAACGTATTGATTCTGGTGATACGACTAAACGCATCTGGCTGTTAAATACTGTCTCTTTTTAGGCTTTTGCTCCGATCCACCGTCATACTTCTCACTTCCACACACGGACAACACATCCCTGCTGCTCTGCAAGGATGTTGGTTTTGGACCAAAAACTGTTTGGCCTGCAGAGGGACAGGCAAAGCTCAGGCCTGGTGGAGGGGGCGGGGCCTTATAATATGTAGATTTAATATAAGGCACACATCCAGTATTACAGCTGTGTTGCCTTCCATACGTTGGGACGGTTCTCAAGCATCTGTGGAGAGTTTTGTTTTTTGTTTTTTGTTTTTTCTGAGCGATGTTGAAGGCATAAGGTGGTTTTATCTCTTTATCTCAGCAATTGTAAGGAACAATTGTTGTAAATAAAAGGTATAATAATATCAGCCATTGGGATATTTAAATATTCTAGCTAATACACAACACAAGAATAGAAAGGATATAATTTTTTTTCCCCCACATTTTTTAAACTCACTAAACATTTGAAGAAGTATTGATTCAATACGTCTAGAGAAGGGTCAGATTTATATTTGTTTTTTTATTTTTTACAAAGAGGACAATGCATAACAGATTTCAAAAATCATTCAAAACATAAGTGCAGTTTTCGTGATCTAGAACTGTTGATTTAATAGTTTTTAGTTCCAAATCCAAGAGTTCGTACAGTTGGACCAGAGATGAACTGATCGATTTTTATTCATTTGATTTCGTCTCCTCTTCGACATCAGGGTCCTCCCGGCCGCGCCGGTCTCCCCGGCGCCGACGGCTTACCGGGACCTCCAGGTACCATGCTGATGCTCCCAGTAAGTCCACCACAAAAGAAACCCACGTCGTCCATCCTTTGGTCCCATCGCTCATACAGCGTACCGAGCCGTTTGCGTTTGTGTGTGCCGAACAGTTTCGTTTCGGTGGGGACGGCGAGAAGGGTCCGGTGGTGTCGGCCCAAGAAGCCCAAGCACAGGCCATCCTCTCCCAGGCCAGGGTGAGTGAAAACCTCCAGACTGTCATCTGCATCCACTTCTCTTTACACAGAGAATGGAGGGGGGGTAGAGGTGTTTGGATGGGGGTTTGTTGGGGAAACAGAAGGGGGTTGCCCTGTGTTTTGTTGACTTTGTGAGGCTAAAAGAAGACTTGCTGAGAACGGGCTGAAGAGCAGCAAAATAAAGAGCCACTTTGAACAGATGCTCATGCAGGAGAGACCGCTAAAAATACAACTTGCTATATTTGGGTGGGGTAAAGTAACAGCTGGAGAAAATGGGGGAAAAGCGTGACAGAGTTGAATAAGATGTAAATTCAGTGAATTATCCAATTAGTTAACATAAGATTTTTGAAATATTTAAATTGCAAAACTAATTTCAATTATTTTTTATCTTGTGTAGTAAACCAAACAGACACCATATTTATGAAATTAACTCAGTCGTAACTCAGTTTTTGTGAATCACCATGGAGCTAAAACATAAGACGGTGTCCTCCACGTTTGCCTCATTAAAAAACATTAAACGCTAAGATTTTTGGATAGAGTCTTTCCTCCTTTCATTGTCTAGATAAGCAAGTCTGCTCTTCTAGTAAAAGACGCTCAACGCAAAAAACAGGTTGTTTGTTTCTAGCATTTGTGCATTTTAGTTGCTCAGTAAAACTAAGCCTCATAAATATTTCTTAAAAAGCGTCCATCTGCATCGAGCACCTGTGCCAGGGGTCAAATTTGTAACATTCTTGAGCGGTGGTCAGGGGGGTGGGCTCCAAAATGGCCCCCAGGCTACACTATACATTTCTTGATGAGGAAAATTCCCGAATAAAATGTCTCAACAGAGCAAAACAGCCAAAAGTAGTTAGAAATGTTTATGTCTAGATGTTAAAGGAAACATGCTTGGTTCTTCTTCTAAAAGTCTGCTCACCTGCAGAAAAAGTGAAAACAACAAATCTTTAAATGTAAATCAATATTTTAAAAAAATCATCAACTAATCCTGTTTTCTGTTACATCTGAGAACTGAAGTGCTGCTTTCATTTCGATATTTTCTCTTTCTTTCACATACATTTTAATTTTTTTTTTTCTTTTTGTCTAACACAGTTTCAAAATGAAAATCTTGGTGTTGTCTCTGTTTGTGGCCTGCAGCTGGCGATGCGGGGACCTCCTGGGCCGATGGGTTTGACTGGAAGATCTGGACCGGTGGTGAGGCTCTCATTCTTTAAATTTTGCTTTTCACAAATTGACCCGTGCCACTCGTCGTATCAGCTCGGATGATGGAGAGGCAGTCAGCAAATTATTTTGAGTCTTACAGGTGAAAAAACCAAAAATCAACACATTTTAAGGTGTTTGAAATGATGGTTTTTAGTGTAGCCTGAAGTTTGTGTCTGATGTGTGTATTATCGGTTTGTTTCTCCCGCCTTAACCAGCTCGGTGGACACACTACCTGTCTGTTAAGTAGTTGCCCCCTACCACACCCAGACCCTTCATTTTTCTTAGGGCCTGTTGATACACGATCTGGGGCTTATTACCGTGGAAACGAGACAGAGTTTACACCTTCAATCTGCTCGTCTCTTCTGAGTAGAAAACTCTGATAAGATCAGATGGTAATAAGTTGATCCAAAGGGAATAAGATGAGATGAGATGAGATCAGCGATTGGTGGATTCCAACTGACTGAAATAATAATTTAATATAAAACAAAGTGAGTTATTATATTCGAGCTGCTTCTCTATATTCAGCTCTCAGATCTACGCTGATATGAAGGCTGATGTCAGATCTAGAAGCTGATCTGTCTTGTTTTGTTTTTTTTGTTTGTTTTATTCATTGTTAATAAATGTGCAACTTAATCATATAAATAAATAACATTGTTTTTTTCTATATGATGTATTTTGTGTTTTCTAATTGTTCACATCGATTTTTATAAACCTGATTTACACAAAACATTTATTTTGAATTGAACATCAGCATTTGAAAAAAAAAAAAAAAATGTCACAACAGAGTAAAATAACCTGGAAATTTCCCATTTCCATGCAGCTCTTGCTGCCCTGAGTTGATTTCATTCTCTTCATACAAAGCTAAATGATGCCATCTGCTGTCTGCTCTGGATTATGTCATTTATTTTGCTCCGAGCTACAGCTGAAGCTAAAGATTCATGAAGTGTGTGTTGGTGTGTTTTTTTTTTTTTTTTGTCTTTAGGGTCCACCTGGCTCAGGTGGGCTGAAGGGTGAAAGCGGAGACCCCGGTCCTCAGGTGAGTGAGGAATAATAATTCAGCCGATGAACTGAAGTGTCTTTCAGTTCCCACTAAAGGCTGCATTCAAACTCCTGCGTGTTGCCGGGCTCTAAATGGGTCTCCTGTGCCTACGCAGGGCCCACGTGGCATTCAAGGACCCCCTGGACAACCTGGCAAAGTTGGTAAAAGGGTGAGTGAACTCAGTCACCTTTAACTCCCCACGTGGAAAACTGTGCCGTTTGTGTGTGCAGCCGTGTTTTTATTTTTCGCTAGGCTCGAACGCCGAGAGGATTGTTTTCACTCCAATAAACAATTTCTTGATAAGTGCTTACAGGCCCCCTGCGCGGCTGCCAATCCTGGGATCCTCAGCCTCGCAGCTAATCTGTCTGAAAATGCCAAAAGTGGGAAAACAGTCACCACGGTGCAGCAGCAGGGCCAAACATCCTGACGTATTAGGACAGTAACGGATAGAAACCGTCCAAAAATGTATGAAATGAACCAAATGCAGTCGTCTGCTCTGAAGGGTTTGAGTTCATTAATTCTGAATTTTTTTATGTGAATCTAGAAAGCGTCTCTGCGTCTTGAGTTTAATACCTCAGCATTCACACACAGCCTGCCTGAGGTATAAGCAAGCTTTGCAGCAACTTGGTAATTTGATTTTACATAGGACCGGCTTACAAATGCACCAGCTTCATGTATACTGCCATGCTAAGAAAAGCCTTCATAATTATGATGTCGTTATATTTTAATACATTAGAATGTCAACTTACTAGCTTTGACAGTCTTTATGCAAACTGTAAATTTTATATATATATATATATATATATATATATATATTTTTTTTTTTTTTTTTTTTGTTTTAAATTAATTTTTATATAAATTTTTTTTTTT